TCTCCGCCATCATAGTGTAACAGAAACCATGGACAATATATAAAAGAAAGGGCATGCTGTGCTCCAACAAAACTTTATTTATGGACACTGAAATCCCATTTCATGTAATTTTCATGTATCATGAAATATGATTCTTCTTTTGAGTTCTTTTCCAACCATTTAGGAACGTGAAAACCATTCCTAGCTGTACAAAAACAGGCAGTGGGCGTGATATGGCCCTTGAGCCGCACTTTGCAGATCTCTGATGCAAACCACTTATTTTATTTTATTTTTTCTTTTTTGAGGAAGATTAGCCCTGAGCTAACATCTGCTGCCAATCCTCCTCTTTTTGCTGAGGAAGACTGGCCCTGAGCTAACATCCATGCCCATCTTCCTCTTCTTCACATGTGGGACGCCTACCACAGCATGGCTTGACAAGCGGTGCCATGTCCGTACCCGGGATCCGAACCGGCGAACCCCGGGCCACTGAAGCAGAACATGCACACTTAACTGCTGGGCCACAGGGCCGGCTCCTGATGCAAACCACTTAGAACAGTGCCCGGAATGTAGTAAGCACTCACAACCTACCCACGAACCACACTGCAGCCAGCAATAGTTAAGGATTTACCATACGTTAAGCTGTGTGCTGTGCTCTTCACGCACCATGTCTCATTTAAACATCCCCATCATTGTGCGAGGCAGGCAACATAATAACTCCCAATACTCAGATGAGAAAGAGAAGACCTGGGTGAGCAAAGGGGCAGAACCATGGTAAATCCAGGTCTTTCTGACTTCAGCCTGTGCTTCTGACCATTATGAAATACCATGCTGGCTGCCAGGACACAACAGGGAACCAGACCCATGCAGGCTCAGCTCCAAACACCACAAATCACGATTTAATTGATTCGAGACGTGTGTTACAGAAACTACGGGCTGGAAGGGGAAACAATAGGAGCATTACACAGCGCACGGTGAGGGAGGGCCTCTGAAGAAGGGCCATGTAGGCCAAGAACAGCCATGCATCTGGTGCTGTGTCACGGGCCAAAGAGAAGAGGCTGGAAAAGGCACATTTACCTCAGTTCCTGCTGCAGAGGGCACAGGGCCATGGTGGTCTCAGATACGGTGGTGGAAGGAGAAACTGTTCCAAACTTCCCGAAGGGGAACGTGGCAACCTAAATAGCCTAAACAGCCCTTGCTTCAGCCATTCTACCTCATGGGAATATATCCCAATAAAATAGGAAAATATAGTCACAAAGATTTAATCCGAGAACAGTCACTGAAGCATTGTTTATTATGGTGCAAAAGTTGACTCGTAACTGTCTGTCCCAGACATTAAGAAAAACTGGAGGGGCTCTGCCACTTATGTCTGAACAATGGTGAATCTGGGTGTCTGAGCAATCAAATGGCGAGGGAAGTGTGCACACTGACCTGGGAAGGAATTAATCATGTGTTTACTAAAATAGCCACGTACAAACTAATGTGTATACTAGCATACTATGATGAGTGTGTATATATATATGTGTGTGTGTGTATGTGTCAGTTCTTTTAATGAGTCACCGCTGAGTGGTAACAGAAGTGTTTCTAGCTTCTTCCTTTTATTTGTCTGGATTTGCAGATTTTTCTGGAAGAGGTACTTAGTGCTTTGTAATAAGAAATGAAGTACAACTGGTGCCCAGGCAGGAGTTCAATACGCCCAAAGTGGTTTGACGGGTAAAGTGGAGTTGCTATTTATTCATTTATCCAATGCATCCTTACAAAGCACCCATCGCAAGCGAGGGATTGGGTTAGTCACTGAAGAACACAGGCAGATGAGGCAGAGAGAGCTCCTCGTTTCGTGGGGAAGCCGGTCAGGTAAACACATCAACGCACTGAGTGGTCAGATGTTCCGCAATACTCGCAGAGGGGAGCGCCAGCTCACCAAGCGGGCAGAGGTCTCTTCCTATAACTTTTAAGGTAGCCTCGACTGCGCTTCACGCTCTCTCAGTAAGAAACTATTAAACAGAAGGACTCCTGGTGGCTGTGATAAGACTAGCACCTGGACCCGATGATTCCACCACGTGAGCCTTTGTTTTCCTCATCTGCAAGGCGGGTATTCTCCCCAGGAAGCTGTGAGGACCCACGAAGGTTTGGAAAGTGCTCTGCAATGGCAAGGCCCTGCACACACAAATGGGGCAATTTAATGCCAAGATCGGAACCCCTTTCTACAAGGCCTGACAACCTAGAAGGTAAATCATGATGCATGCCAAAGCGTGGGGAAGAAAACGTGTTTACAACGGAAAGACTGAACAGAGAAAGGCAGGGAGCAGCGCCATTCCCCGCAACCGCGCCCGGCTGGGCTCACGTCTTATTATGTGCCTTCCAACGCGGCCAGAGCCTGGGCAGCTCGACTTTCCAGAATACATCTGTAACCCCAAGGACAGTCTGGACATTTTAAATTGGAAACAATTTCTCTGCAAGATCTTATTCACATATGTTAAAAAGAAGTATTTAGGACCTATGGCCTTGAAAAGAAATCTTACATATCTCACCTCTGGTACAGGAAAGAGAAAGGGTTTTCCAGGTAGGTAGACAAGGGCGTGAATGCTGGCTCCGGTGCCCTTTTATAAATTATTTCATTATCTCTTAGCTTCAGGATAATAATATCTTTCCTGCAGGGTAATAATTAGAGCAATATATGTATATAGCATAGATGCTCAATAAACGGCCGTTGTTTTTTAATTAGTGGGAAGACACAGAGTAGTAACAAAGCAATGGGTCACATCGCCCAAAAGCTGTAACTTGGGGGAAGTCAGCTCATTACGGAAAGGAGGGAGGCCCAGGGTGGTTGGGCCACCTGGAGCTAAACCTGGCCTCAGCTCAGCCTGGAAAGGTGAGGCAAGGACAGCACATCTTTCTCGGTGATGTGGGAAAGCGAAATCAGACTGAAAATCCAAATAGGAATATGCGCTTTGCGCCCCTTTGAGACCCTGGCTGTGCGTGAGAAGAATGCATTAGGTTTTTCTGGGAGGAGAAAGGAAACCGTGTTAACTGGAGAGTGAAGATGGCACTGCTGGAGGCAGCACGGGTGGCTGGGAGAGCAGCCAGGAGCAGAAGCAGCATGGTGTCGGTCTCCAGCAAAATCACCCAGAGCAGTTGGTTAAAAGTTCAGATTCCAGGTCTACTTCTTGGTTTCAGCAGGCCTGGGGTGGGACCCAAGAATAATCCCTATTTTACCAGGACCCACTGATAGTTCTGATACTTCCCAAGGGCCGGCTTGGGAGCCGCTCCTGTGGTAGAGGAGGTATCAGGCGCTGGCCTCCGAAGGCCTCAGTTCAAGACCCAGCTGCGCGCCAGCACTTGGGTCCAACTTTAAAATTCTCTGGAAGACACTGGGACCAAGTCCAGGACAAGGCAGGCTGCAACTTCTCTGCAGGCTGCAAACTTATATATAAACAGGGAAATAGCCTTATGAGCTATGTCTTAAATTTCATATATATATATTTAAACATATATGTGTATATATACCCACAATATATATACACATGAATTCACATATACACAGACATGTATACACACAAACACAGACAGACTTAGGTATATACACATGTATCTATATATGCACTTATGTTCACATATACACATGCAGGCATATGTGCCCACATATATATATATTTCAATTAATCTTCATGCACAGTCTACTCTAGCACTAATATTATCCCCATTTTCCTGATGAAGAACCTGAGGCATGGAAAGAATGAGAAACTTGCTTCACACAGCTAGTTAGTGGCAAAGGCAGGATTTGGAACAAGACAGGCTGGCTCCAGAGTTCCTGTCTGTACTCACCACATTATAACAGATAACCCAAGAGGCTAAACAGAGTAGAGACTGAGAGTCATAAACTTCAAAAGCAACCGCACCCTGGGATACACTGTGTCCAGTGCTGTTTCCTCCAAGAATGTCTCCCATTTCTGTGCATGCGTGTTGTTTCTCTCACTGAGAGACAGCATCGACTTCTCCTGCCCTTGAATCCGGGCTGGCCTGTGACTGCTTGGCCAATAGGATGCGATGGAAGTCATGCTGTGCTAGTTCTGTGCCCAGCCAGGGGTAGGCCAGGCAGCTTTCATTTTAGGCACTTGGGACCCAGCTGCCAGACTGTAAGGAAGGTTGGGCTAGACTACTGATGACAAGACCTCATGGAAAAAGAGAGACCCAGCCACTCCAGTCGCCCCAGCTGAGGCAACAGGTGTGTAAATGAAGCCACCTTGGCCATGCAGCCTCAGCAGAGCTCCCCATGAATGCGGCCACATGCTGACTCCAAATGACTCCAAGCAGAGCTGAAGAACCACCCAGCAGGACTCAACCACCCTACAAGACTATGAGAAAAGCAACCTGTCCTTGTTTTAAGCCACTAAGTTTTGGGGTGGTTTGTTGTACAGCAAATAGATAACTGATTCATGCACCCACGTGGCTTGCAGACAAGTATGCAGCTTCCAGTAACCAACATTACTTGTTGGGAGCACCATGTCAGGCAGTGTATTAAGCGCTTTACATTTTCTGTCCCATTCAGTCTTTATTGCCACCCATGAAGCAGGTATTAATATTATTTCCATTTTACCGACAGAGAAACTGAAGCCCAGTACACATGCACACACACATAGACCATTGCCTAAAGCTGACACATAAACGTAACCATCACACTGCATTTCCCCCACTCTGTGCCATGTAGCCCTGCAAACCTGGACCCAACACCCCCAGCCCACAGTGACGATTTACCATCATGGATCACACAATTAGCAAAATAAATGAGACCTGCCATCAGAGCCTGTCCAGTTAAACCAATGGGTGCATAAAGGATGTGACAAGAAGCTACCAGCCACACTGAAGCCATTGAGGAATAAGTCTAGAGCATGAGGTCAACCAGAATGGCTGAAGGGGACCATCGATGCTTCTGTCAAGAGGGGACAGGAACAAAGATGGCAGCATGGAACATCTACTGAAAAAGCGGGGAGGAAACCATGGTTGGTTCCAGGACCTGGCTTTACCTCCAACTGGCTGTGTGGCCTTGGACCATGCTTCACCTCTCTGGGCCTCAGTTTCCCTCACATGGTGATGTCCAAAGAACTGTCGAGTTCTTTCCAAGATTCTCTTTAGCTTCATCTTCAGCACAGGTCATCTACTTTTGACTGGGGGAAATGTCCAGTGAACTCCACTTTGCCACTACAAAGAAACTGGGGGACAGAGGGCATCACTCACTTCGTAGAAACTGATGGAACCTCTAAAACCCAGGAAGCCCCAAACCTGGGCTCTTCTCCTATTGGTTAATACCACTCTGTTCCCACACCCGCAGTTCCTCAATTAACACAGATTGGTGAGAGGTTATCACTCTCGCTGGATTTTGTTTCCTTGCTCCCACCAAAGGCAGCTGCTTCCTTCAAATTGGTATCAGTCAGGCCAGGAAGTTTCTTTTTCCCTGCAATCCATTGTATGCGAGAAGATCACGATTGGGACCTGTCAAGTGCAAGGACGGAACCAGTTGGGCACATGGAGATACCGACCGGCTGCCCCAGACTGCCCACTCCAGTCCTCCTGGTCGCCCGACAAGTCCCCTGTGCTTGGAGCACTATACGGACAGTGAGGACAAAAGGAGACTCATTATGATAATTAATCAGGAGCATTATCATCATCCTAAAGAACCTCTGGTCTGCTTCAAAGCCAGCTAGCAAACTGACCTCACCCCTTCCTGTTTCATAAATCCACTGCCTCCAGTCCATCTAGGACCAACAGATGTGAAGCAAACATAAATAAATGTATCATTCTAGATCATGCTATGAAGGAAAAGCAGAATGCAGTGGGAGAAAAATAAGGGGACAGCTGAAGGGTAAGAAAGCACTCACCATCAAAAAATGGAGGGAATGAGCATTCCAAACAGAGAAATAACACGTGCAAAGGCCCTGAGGTGGGAGGGAAGGGGATAGCTTTGTATCACTTGGCAGAGGTCAGTGTGGATGAAGAATAATGAGTGAAGAAAGACAGCTGGGTCAATCCACACAAAGTCCAGTAGATACTGGTTTTTATCCCAAGAGCAGAAATGGAAAGGCCTGGGGTATGTTTGTGGGGGCAGCACAATTTGATTACCACTTTCAGAAAGATCACGCTGGCTGCTGAGTGGAGAAAGGATTGCAGAGAGGCAAGACTGGATCCAGGGAGTGGAATTTGGAAGCTGTTGCTGTAATCTAGGCAGGAGATGAGGGTGACTTGATAAGAGTGTTGTGGTGGAGGGAAAATAATGTCCACCGCAGCCCCAGATGCCTGAGGCTCATGAGGAGAGGATCCACAAGTTGGCCGAGATGGTCAGCTGGCTGGTTCTCACCCACTTTCCTGGCCATGGACAAGCTATCATGAGTGTTCAAGGCACCATCATGATCAGCCAGCTTGGAACATTCTAGAACATCTCTCTTGGTGGACTTTACCTAACAAGGCTTTGTGTAGGTCTACACAGAGAGGTGCTGGTGACCTCGGAACTTCACCTGATAAGGTCACTAGTGGCATCTGGAGAGGGAACGCCATCCTCTCTGATCTGAGGGGATGGGGGCATCAATCTGAAGGGAGGCATCTTTTCCTTGGTCATAGAATGCCCCCCAAACCCCTACAACCCACATCAGATTCTGAGCTACCTACGGGTAGGGGCCCACATCTTTCTAGGGCTGCTGTCTGCGCCTGGCACACACAACCGGATGACCTTCTCCCTGGAGGACCAGCTCCGTGAGGACAGTCTCCATCTCACACCTCCTTGTAACTCCCGTGCCAAGCACACACCTAACATATCATGTGCCCTCAATCAAATTTGATTCAATGACAGAACAAATGATGCTCTTCTATTCCCTTGGGGTCAACTTCTCAATCACCAGATCAATGGGTTCTGTGGCCAAGCTGAGAACCATACACCACAGTCCATGCCCTAAAGGAATCCATGTGATGCTGGAAGGTCAGACAGAGGCAGAAAGAGAAGCAGTCCATTCCCGCTGTCCAGACGTGAGGCACTCTGAGCCTTTCAAACAGAGGAAGATGACTTCCAGCAGAAGAACCCAGAGGAAAGGCAAAGGATGGGATGGACCTTGAGCACAGGTGGCATTTGGATAATCAGAAGGGCAGCCAGTTAGAGACAGAAGCCCCCACTCACAGAGGACCTGCCACGAGCCTCGCCCCAGTAGGAGCCTTGAGACTGTGCTTCTCACAAGAACCTGGCGCAGGAGCTAGCCCATGTCACAGTTGAGGACACTGAGGTTCAGAGTGGTGAAGCGACTTGCCCAGGGTCACAGAGCCAGCAGCTGGTGGAGCTAGGCGGGGAACTCAGCCCTGTCTGTGGCTAGAGCCCACGCACCCCTCAGACAACCAAAGGAGAAACGATGAGATCGAAGCATGAAAGTCAATGGAAGACAATGGCAGGTTCAAAAGTGAGACTTGCTTACCAGGACTGACACTCCACAGGAAGGTTCAAAGGTGACCAGCATGGAACCACAGGGCCGGGTCACGATGAGGTGGGCCTTAAATGCCATGCTAAGAGGTCTGAATGACCGACTGCTGGACAGGCACATGGTCAGAGCAGTGCTGTCAGAATTTCGACTTGGCCATCAGAAAGAGAGGTGAGGGAGGGAAAAACTCAACACCCTCAACGTGAAGGCCTGGAGAGGCAGGGGGGATGGAAGGAAACAAGAAGTAGGGCCAACAGGAAGGAAGCAGAGGCAGAACCACTGGCTGGAAGGGGTCCAGGGAGAGGGAGAAACCGCTTCTCCTTCCGTTTCTGATGATAGCAAGATTACTACTTGAGAGCAGGGCTGGACAGGGCAGGACTTCCCAAAAATCAGGAAGGGGAGAGCACTGAGCACGTGTCCCCAGCATCAGGTGGTCAAGTCTGACCTCCTCTGCCCACACTGGGCTTCACGTACAGTGAGCTCTGGCCTCAGACGGGCCCTCGGGGACCCAGCAGTGCACCCGCTCCAGGATCAGTGAGCCCCAGAGGCAAGTGGTGAGAGACGTCAAGAAAAATGGTGTCACCTCCATACCAGAGAGGAAGAAACCGAGGTGCAAAGAGGTTGAACAACTTGCTTGATAGCACGCAGCAAGTGCGTGCCCGAATCAGGATTCCAACGCAGGGGCCTCTGTGTAGACTTTGGCTGTATCAATCAAGAACCCAGCAGGGAGGAAGCAGAAGAATAAATGCCCTGCCCTCACTCCTTCCCTGCCCTCCCATCCTGCCAGTGCCTCCCAAACAGAGCCAGGGGCACAGGAGCCCCATGTGGCATCCATCCTGGTGCACCCACACAGGTCGGCCTCCTGGGCACAGGGCAGGGTGGAAAAGGACAGGGGGACCTGGAAGGGGACGTCGAGGTTACCCAGCACCTCACCATTCCCACAGCCGAGACTCTGGCCTCAGCTGCCTCCGCTCTGCAGAGCCACAGCACAGATGCCCTCCACCTTGGTGCTGTAGCAGGGGGCCACCTGCCTCTCTGTACCAGCGCAAGGCCCCACAGAGGCAAGCGCTCTGCCTCCACCCCATTCTGGTCCAGCATCATGGCACTCCCCGCCTCCCTCCTCAGTTCACACTTCCCTGCCCTGCCCTGCCTCAATCTTATGCAGAAATCTCACAGTGACCTTCTTCTGACAAGACAGGGTATTGAGAGCAGCTGTCTTAAGAGATGAGGGCAGACTGATGCCCACTGCAGTGCAAGCTGCCCACTCCCGGGCCCTGGTCCGCCCCTCTTGCCCTGCCTGCCACCCTTGAACATTGAGGCCTGGCTGCCGGTAAAAAGAAAGGACCCGCTATCTCTGATTCCGCAGGGCCTCTGATAAGAAATGTCATCCCTTGCTGGGTAATATTACCCGCTGGATAAGGATCTCTATCAACCTCAAACATATGGCTGGCTGCAGAACACAGAGCCCGGCGGAGCAGGATTATTTATTTGCTTAAGTTGAAAGCCCTGGGTGGCCAAGAGCAGTGCGCTGAATAAAAGAGTAAGAGCTGAATTAGAACCTATTCTGACTTGAAGTTGGGATTTCCACCCCCAGGAAGGAGGAGCACCTGAGAGCCACGGGAGGCCCTCCTCGCTTGTCTCCCTCCACAACAAGCACTGTCACCTTCGTCTTTCCTCAAAGGGCACTCGCACTTATGTGATTACCTCTAATCCTCATGACAACCTCAAGAGGAGCATTTTTAGCCTCCTTTTACAGATCAGGAAATGGAGATTCAGCAAGGTTAAGTCACATGGCCAAGGTCACACAGGCAGCCCGGCCAGAGCCTGGACTCAAACCCCATGGGTCTGACTCACCAGCATGCTGTTAGATGGGGAGTCTGATCCCAACCGCTGCCTTGCTAGGCCAGTACAACTAAATTAATCAATTAAGTCAGATCTGCCTGACTTAACCGCCAATGTCAGCTACATCATATCCTCTCAAAGGTCCATTTCAAGCATCTCCCCCATGTCCTGTGTCTCTGTAATCTGGGGAATAATGAGGAAGCCTTGCACAGCATAGAAACTCAAGGGAGGGGAGGGGAGGGGAAAGACAGTACCCAGGAGGGGGAGAAGGGACATCTGGGGCTTCTGCTCCAGCCTCCTGCATTTGAGGAGTAGCAGGCAGAAGGAAGTTGCGGAAAGAAACTCCCCACTCTCTTCATTCGTTCACGCCTTCACACATACCGATGGAAAGGCTAGGATGTGCCCGGCCATCTGGCTGCAAATGGACAGCCCAGGTCCTGCCCTCTTGGAGCGCTCTGTCCCCTGGGCTTCCAGGTCAGCAAAGAGGCAGGAACAACAGAATGTGTTAAGTGTGGATGCAGGAAGTACAGGGAGCTGATTTGGGAGAGGTGGCTGTGTGTTAGTGTTAGTTAGCTGTTGGCACACTCCCTACACGGTCTATGCCCTTCTTTTTTAAAATCAAGATCGTTAAGGTGGATGTTGCTTTTTGATAGTGATATAGCTTCAAGATTGTTCCATATCACTTCATAAAGCCACTGCTTCTCTTTAACAGCTGTACTGTCAATACTGTGCAGACATTTTATGGATGTATCACAATTTTGTCAACCAATCAACAATTGAGGAGCATTTAAATCCTGTTTCATCAGAAGAAATGAACAGGTGGAACACAGAGGATTCTTAGATCAGTGAAACTATGATACTACGAAGGTGGAAACGTGTCATTAGACACGTATCACAGAATGTCCACCACCAAG